TCCTAGGACAGGACTGAGCCCACGTGCTCCTCTCTCATTGCTCTCTCAATGCCCACATACCTGCAGGGAGGGCTGTGTGATGAGTCCCCAAATCACCTAGCAGCCGCTGCTGTACTTGCTGGGAGCCCCAACATAATGAACCACAGAGGTTGGACCGCCAGCTTGCAGGGAGTTGTTCCCGTGGGGAAGAGTGACGGTCACCGGGGCTAGGCATGCACCAGCCTCCTTCACTGCTCTGGTGACATCCTTCTCCTGCTTCTGCTAGAGCAAAATGCAGCAGCAGACAGTGGCACCAGCCCTCTCAGTCCTAGGTCAGCCCTGCAGCTGGCTACTGGGGAGCTGTGCAAGCTGCCAGCCCATGGGGCCTGGGGCATCTGGAAATGTCTGGGCTGGGCGGTCAAAGGGGTAGCTTCCTGGCTGGCATCAATCCACCTATCTCCTCTGGAGGCACAGAGAGGTGAGGGCCACCGGCTTGCACAGCAGGGCCTTACGCACCGCTGCACGGTGCATCATGAGTAGCAATGAGCATGACGCCGGGCTGCTGCCCCAGCGGACGGACCTTTGCTCTTGCTGAACAAACCCATCAAGGTTTCTCCTCTTCCCGAACTATTGAATGCCTCAAACTCCCCCTGTGCAGAATTAGGCAGCGCCCGATTCCCTCTTAAACCTTTCCGTCTCCATCAGCGTCACACTCCCCAGGCTGGAGTGTGTCACTCTCTCCCAAAGCGGTCCTGTATTTCATAGGCAGCAGAGCATTTCGGGTCAACCCGGCTAGGAAACAATTCTGCGGTCTTGAAAGCTGATCCGTCTCATGCAGCTAAGGGAAAGCTTCGCCCCTGGAATTTGTCCCGATCTGTTTTTCCCGAGCAGAGGAACATGCAGCACTGCAAAGCACCAGGCTTCAGGACCTTTCCAATGATGTATTTCAAGGCATGGAAGAAGGAAAGTAAGATTGCTTTAAAAGGTCTGGGAACTTCGAGCTTTGCGGGGCATGCTCCCTGCTTGTCTACAGGCCCTCTGGGAAGTTGTAGTCACCATGGGGGCCTTGTGTGTCCTAGCAGCCTTCTCAATACTCAAGCTGAGGGCGTTACAAAGGGCTCAGCCTTAAGTTTTCAACGTGTTCCTTGGATCTAGTGTCAATGGCTTAATCCTCACCTGGTCAGTCATTAGACAGACCCCTAAGCTTTAGTGTCTGTATTGGTGTTACCATCCTGTTCTCACCCAGCCCCAGCAAGACCATTTTCATATGGTTTAAATGGGCAGAGACAAGTAGTTCTGGAAAGGGCTTATATGACCGTGTCCTCAAAAAGGCATGGAAGTATGCTATGAAACCATGAGCACCAAGTGCAGTGATGAAGGTGACCTGTGCTAGGAGGTCCACAGCATTCATGTTAATGCTGGAGCAATGGAGAGAACTGCAAGGCGAGTGCTGGCTTTTTCATCCCGTGATGGTACTGAAGCATTGCTTTGCCTGCCTTGCTCTATGCAGAGGAGGAAATGTCAAGGAACAGAGAGGAGAAGGGAGATTTTCCTTGGCCCCATGAAAAGCTGCTGTCATTTTAAAGTCCACCATCCACCTTATCAAGGCTGTTTGCTGCATATCAGAGGGGTCTCCCTTGCTGACGGGCACTATATGGACTGCGACTCTCAGCCAAGGTGCCAGGAGATCCTTTCAAGGATGCCACCCAGCATTAGGACTGTTAGGTGTGCAAACACGGTCCTCAAGATAAACCCAGAGTTTCCAGTAGAAATCCCTCATTGCAGTCTTTCTGAGTTCTCTGCAACAGAAAAATTGCAGAGAACTAGAAAATGCTCTATTTTTTTTCTTTGGGCAAAAAAAGAGTGAAAACTAATTGCTGGCACTTTCCAAGGGGTGCCTTACGTCTACATGAGGTGTCTTGAATCTAAAAGGTTAAGAACTGTTTCTGTCGGTGGTTAATAATAATAGTCACAGTGAATGAAGTGTTTAAACTCTCCATTCCTTCACCCCTTATCCATCGCTGCTGTCGCATGGTTTTCTGTTAGACGCTTTAGGAACGAGCATTTGAGTCGATACTGTACATCGGAAATGATGCCATCTCGTTTGAAGATGTGCTCGCGGTGACATGGCTGGGGTAGGGACTGACTGGAGCATCGTGGAGTCTCTGGCTGGACTATGCCATGTCGGTAGTAGACAGAAGTTGCTTTTTAAATGCCTGTCTGGAGCAATCTCTTTTTGGCCGTACCATGCCCAGAGGTACGGGCATGGCAAAACCCACCACTGGCACCACAATATGTAGCCGCTGCAGCCCTTGTAAACACTCCCTGTAGAAAAGCCCAGGATTTAGTGGTCTGTGAGCAACAAATTGACTTCAGAGCCTTAGCAGGGTCCACTTCAGGACAGACTTGGCCCATCCTGGATGCGCTTGCAACAGAAATACAAGGGTCCGACCCTTGAGAACGAGGTGAGAGATCTTCGCTTTACAAACCTGGTACTGAATTATCCCCACAGCTGGCAGATGATGCCACACACCTTCCTGGATAATAATCAAGGGAAGACCAAGCAATGTCATCGGTGACATTTGTAAGGCCTCGCATGAGGAAATCTCTTGCCCAAAACTCCACCATGCATCAGGGGGCTTTGGGGTTGGGGTAGGTAACTCAGCAGTGGATCCAAGTTCAAGGCCACCACTCTGTAGAGGACAGGCAACCCCCAGGTCTGTGCTTGCAGCAGAGTGAGGTAGGTCACTTTGTAGGAGGCTACAAAGAAGATGGAGCTGGACTGGTCTCAGTGGGGGCAGATGACAGAACAAGGAGCAATGGGCTCACATTGCAGGATGGGAAGTTGAGGCTGGATATTAGGAAAAACTTTCTCCCGAGAAGGGTGGTGAAGCACTGGGACAGGTTACCCAGAGAGGTGGTGGACTCTCCATCCTTTCAGGTGTTTAAGACCCGGGTAGACAAAGCCTTGGCTGGGGTGATGGAGTCGGGGCTGGGCCTGTTTGAGCAGGGGGTTGGACTAAATGCAACCTCCTGAGGTCCCTTCAACCCTCCTTTTCCTTGAGTCTTTGACTCTTCATTAGGCTGTTAATGTGCCTCTATTGCTCTAATTCCAGCCTGTTTTTCAAGCTACCTGCATTCCTTGTTTTCTGGTGGTTGTTGTTTTTTTAAGGTTTTTATTCAGATGCCGTGCCAGAAAGCTCCTTTCCTGGGGTGCTACCCAGTGACCTGCATATGGTATCGGTGGAAGAGACAGTCTGTATCGCTTTGTTTATAAGAACATATTTCCCGTGATTGATGTCTGAGCTGCGGAAGTATGTTTGCAAGTTAGGCTTTAAAACATGAATCAAACAATGTTTGGAATACGTATGCGGCTCTGTCAAACATTTCTCCGAGTTTGGAGTCTGCACAAGCCTGCCTTTCCAGAGGTACCAATGCCTGCCTGGAAGGATCTGGATAAGAAGTATTTATTCTGTAGGACTATCTCCAAGGGTCTTTTGCAGATTCCAGGCCGTGTGCTTGCCAATGTACTTTGCTCGCAGAGAGCTTTCTGTCCCCGCTGCAGGCTTACAGGTAGCGCACTCTGTACAGCTCCGGGCATGAGTAATAAGCAGCAGGTAGATGGTTGGCAGGCATGCCCCAAACAGCACGTACCTCAGCTGCGTTGTGTCATCCCCGCAGGATAAACGCGAGCGCTCAAACTCGACTAACCCATTAACTGCTCTGCACAGGACAGTGCCCGGCATGGCCCAATATGGCAATTCAAATGGTCCTGAGCACCTCGTGCGGCTTCCTGGATGCCTACGCGTTGACTTCAGCATGGAGCTGGGCCCACGAGTCAACTTGGAAATGAACTCGTGGGTAGGATGGTTGCGAATGCTTTAAACTATAGGTGAGGATCCTGACTGGGAGGCGAGGAGTGAGCATCTCGCTCACCTGGGCAGCCTACGGCACTGGTTCACTGTGGGTTCAAGTCCCATCTGGAGTGAATGGTTCCTTTAATTCTGAACACAGCTCTGTCTGGAGTCCTGGGTCCAGTTTTTGGGCCCCCCCACTGCAGAAAGGATATGGTCAAGTTGGAGAGAGTCCAGCGCAGGGCAGTGAAAATGGTTCAGGGTCTGGGGGACATGACTGGTGAGGAGAGGCTGAGGGAAATGGGCTGATTGAGTCTGCAGAAGAGAAGACCGAGGGGGATTGAATACCAGCCTTCACCTCCCTGCAGGGGGGCTGCACAGAGGACGGAGCTGGACTGGTCTCAGTGGGGGCAGATGACAGAAGGAGCAATGGGCTCAAGCTGCAACAATGGAAGTTGAGGTTGGATATTAGGAAAAACTCTCACCAGGAAGGTGGTGAAACACTGGAACAGATTACCTAGAGATGTGGTGGAGTCTCCATCCTTGGAGGTGTTTAAGACCCAGCTCAACAAAGCCCTGTCTGGGATGATGTAGTTGGGGCCGGTCCTGCTTTGAGCTTGGACTAGCTGTGACCTGCTGAGGTCCCTTCAACCCTCATTGTCTGTGACTGTATGAATGTGGTGGCAGTAGTTGCTCATGTTACTGCTCTGAAAAGAAAGCTAGAGAGGCAGGGTCCCAGTGGTACGTGGGCAGCTGTTATTCATTTTGGACCTGTCCTTCATGTGTGCTGCTGTTCTAGTTCTCAAATCTGGAACCGGGGGACTGACAGCATCCCCGAGTCTCTTTGTTCGTCAACTGTTTAAGTAAGATGAGATGGGTAAGAGGAACATCCCCTGTTACATGAGATGAGATGACTGATAAAAGATCTCCATCTCCGGCCTTCCACCAGCAAGGTGGTCATTTGCTGTGGGGGCTGGTGCCAGAAACAGGCCTCTGAGCTCGATGGCCCTTTGGCACAGCCCTCTCTGGCCCTTCCCGTAGTAAGCCCTAGGTCCTGCTCCAAAACCTGCGGAAGTCGACAGGGATGTCTCTCTTGTGCATGTACATGCACATGCACTTGTCTCATTCCTTTTCCAATCATTTCTGCCTCCTTCCCCCTCTCTCAAGAAAGTCGAGGTGTCTGTGCTTGCTGGCAGGGTGGATCTTACAAGGAAATGCATAAGCCCTTCCAGGAACCCCTCAGGTGACTGTGCCGAGACAGGAAATCCAGTGACTCGCAGGTGAGCGATCGTTTCCTTTGCAGCAAGCCCCATGCACCGTTGCTGAGCTTGCTGTCCTGGGCAGTGGGCAGGTTCAGAAAGACCCCAAGCCATCAAGAAGCGCTGGCATTCGGTTCCCGGCGCCGAGCTGGGCAGGCTGGCTCTGCGCAGAGGTGTCCCATTAAGCCCCATCCATCACCGGACATCCTTTTATAGGGCCCCACATACCATCAAGCTCCCCCCTGGGACCCCTGTGGAATGAGAAACCGTTCAAGCTGCACTTCAGGACAAGTGAGAGGAAGGTTTGCTTCCCCTCTAGATAAGCCAATTACCTGTGGAAGGAGCAAAGAGGGGCTCCATGTGCTCCAGGACAAAGCTCTCGTGCATTCCTGACGTGACTCACGATCGCCGCGTTGGTGCCGGCTGCAGTGAGAATGTCCCCAGGGCTCTCGGGACGGGACGCTGCAAACATGACCTGACCACCCAGCCCCACGGCTTTGGTTGTGGGGTGCATGAGACTGCATCAGGCCCAGACCAGTTTGCACCCAGGCTTTGCTGCTCTCACCTCCGGAGAGGCTTCTGCCTCCGAGGGGCTGTTCTGTGTCCGCGGTAGATGCCCTTCTGCTCCCTGTACATGCCTTTGTGGGCCACTTCCCAGCAGTGCTGCCCAAGATGCACCCAGTGGGTGTTTCGGGGTGGCTGCAATTAGCTCTCGGGTGTTACTGTGCCCCCTTCCAGGCGGAGGATAGACTCTGAAGGGAGAGGGCCAGCAGGAAAGGACCCTTGCCCTGAGCACACTCGAGGAGCGCTTCTATGTCCTTAGGATGGGGACTCGTTCATGGAAAAGGTTAGCAAGCTGTCGGGCCCTGCTGATTCTGTGAGCAGTTCCCGGAGTGACTTCACGTGGCATCGTGTGAGCAAAATTTAAACAGCTCCACTCAAAGCATCTGGGACGGGGTGTCGTGGTGGAGACCATGGGCTGGGGCTTGGGAAACATCTGGATTTCCTTTGTGATGCAAGAGAAGTCCCTTAGGGGCTGACTCCAGTCCCACTGGAGCCTGTGGAATGACTCCTATCCCCTTGCCTGGCTTCAGATTGGACCCTTGCACCGTCTGTGCCTCAGTTTGCCTAGCTGTACAATGGGGATATTAATGCTGTTTCTTGTTTGTATTACCCTAGTTCCTGAGCCCCAGTCCCAGACGGGGACCGCATTGCACCAGGTGCTGTACAAACACAGAGAAGGATGCAGGCTGTGCCTCCAGCCCTGGCTCTGTAAGTAAACGCATGATTTGTCATGTTAATGCTAACACCTCTGCCCGTGCTGGGGTAGGGGAGGTTAGATCAGGAATGCCTGTACCGTGTGCCAATGCACAAATGACCGTCAGGGCGGTTGATCTTGCATTCAAAGCACACCTGCGGCTCTGGCCGAGAAGTTTGTTCCCTGCTCCAGGTTGCAATCCCTGCTGTAACCACAGAGCTGCCTGCCTCCATCTCCCGGCCTCTATTTTATTTCTCTCCCAGAAAAACTCTGCTCCGTCGTGCCGGTTCGTTCGCCGCGGCTCCCAGCGTGCACGCGTGCGTGGAGCAGACTGGCTCTCTAGCGGGTCGGCTGTCGTTACCTTCCAGCCCGGCGGAGATTTATTCCCTCCGCAGGTTTTCTGGAAAGGTGTTTTCCTTCTAACCCGGCTTAGGAGCGAGTTGGGGAGATCAGGTTTCATGGATTACGGCTCCAGGGCTCTAATGAACTATGGGTGAGTGGGCACAGTAATCCAGTAAGAACAGGAGCTTGTTAGTCGCTGATTCCATTATACTAACTAGTAACATCTGATCCGATCGCTCCTTCAAGGAACTGAGTACAGCAACCCATTAGGGCCTGAGCTCACCCCACCGGGGTCACTGGGAGCCCAGCTATCGGCCTCCTTGGGTGCAGGCCAGCCCCTTCCTCTCTTACCATGTGCAATACTAATAAGGAGCAATTTGGTCCTTTTTCAGGCCAAAAGGTAACGTGATTTCCTTGCAGATGCTGTTCTTGGCACTTCCCGCTGGAGGCCGGGGGCTGGCGGCCCAGGGGAGCTAGTTAGGCAAGAGGTGCTAATAAATTATCCAGCGATTTTGGCTTGGGTTTTGGTTTCAATCATCATCATGCCCCGATTGACGAGGCCGTTTGCACGGTGACCCCAGGGCCCCGCGGGCGTTTCCCTGATGTGCCGGGATTTGCCAAGGAGTTGGCGCAGGCACGTTTAAGCCGGGGGGTGTTCACAAGCCGGTCGCTTCAGCTGTTTGCGGTGTGCGTCTGTCTCAGCTGCGAGCGTGCGAGCGTGAACGCAGGGCGGGTGCGGAGGCAGCAGGATTCGACTGAGTCCCAGCACCCACCTGGCCCCAGCCGGAGCTGGATTTACACCTGTATCCCCCGAATCCCATCCCAGTGCCCTGTCCACCGGACTGCAGCACTCCTCGCCTGTCCTGTCTCCCCCATGCTGGTGGCAGCTGGCAGGAGATGGGTCTCTCTGTCCCCGTGCACCAACAGCGCTGTGGATATGCAAGATGCTGTTGTGTTTCACACACCCGGGGCACATCCACAGTATCAAAGGGAGCCCATCATACCTACCCGCCACACAGCCCCATGCTCTATACTGAGCCTGGTCTTTTAACAGTGTTCACGTGCCCTACAAGTCCGGCAGCAGCTCCTGCCCCGCTGTAGCCCAGAGAGAAAATGCTTCCCCCGCACCAGCCCCAGCTATCAACGAGCATCATCGGCAGAGCTGTTCCCTGCTAATCCCTCGGTGCGGCAGGCTGGCTCTGCGGCCAGGCGTGCATGCGGGAGCACTGCTGCAGAGAAAGGCGATCTCCTTCGAGCAGAGTTGTTGTTGCAGGATGTCAAGGGCTCTCATCTGGACAACGACGGTCTCTGCCTACGGGGCTGATTCCCCAGAGGTGCTGGGGCGCAGGTCTGGTGCGAGGGATGCTAGCCCAGTCATTAGGGCTCTTATGCCAATAAGGATGCTGACTTCAGCCCCTTTCTGCTGCAACCAGGCCAGTGAGCCGAGCGTGCAGGGCTTTCTAATCCAAGTTGGGCTACAGCTGGAGATGTGCCACACACGGGCTCTGTGTTCGAGGGAGACGGTAGCGGGCCCGAGTCTGCAGCAGTGAAGGAAGTAGGAGTCCATCCCTTTGCTGAAGGGGGTGCAGCCGTGTGCTGTAAGTCATGAGAGGTTTCCTTTGGAGCATCTGACTCGTGCACATGTTTCTAGAGCAACCAGCAGCAGGTCGGGGTTAGCAACGTGCTCTCCCTCCTTATTGTGAGCACCAAATTCACCCACATACATCCCAAGAAAAGACCGGAAACCTTCTGCATCCTTTCCTCTCCGCTCTTGCCTTATGTGTTGCAAGAAACCATTATTCTTCTCCGTAGCGCTGTATGTCATAGCCAACCGTGCCATTGTCCCACGTCCCGCCAGTGGTCGCCCAGCGTTTTGGAGCAGCGTAATATAGCCCGAGGTTATAGAAGAAGAGATTGGCTGCAGAGATTTTCAAGGAAGTAACGCCACTAGGGGCTCCTGATGAGCTCATTAGCCCACAAGAAGAGAGGAAAATAATTGCTGGTGGCTCAATGCAGTCCATCTGCATGGGATTTGCTAATGGGCACTAATGAACATAGTTTCCAAACCTTTTGAACCACCGGAGTGACAATTCACACTGCATCTTTGTCAGAAAGCATTCCCAGCCATTCGGCCATTGAGCAAAGGGATTGATGCGTTAACATGGTCCGTGGGCCTGAAACCGAGCCGTATCGATGCATCTGAATCACATCCCGCAGAAGCATGGCCCTTTGACTCACAGCACTGAGCTTCTCTGTAAGTTGTCGTGAAGTTATTAAAAGAAAAGTCCCAAGTCCCAAGCCCTTTGGGCCGGGGGCTGGACTCGATGATCTTCCGAGGTCCCTTCCAGCCCTAATGTCTATGAAATCTATGAAATGTCTATGAAAGTCAGGCCCCCCTGAACTCCAGAGCCTGGCTGTCGAAGAAAGCCACAAGACTGAAAAATAAACTAAAATAATCTTTTTTTTTTTTTTTTTTTTTCCCCAAAGGAAATCGCTTCATGCTTGTTTAACAACTTCCTCTGAAGCTGCAATTCCCTTCTCATCACATGACTCCAGGAGCTTGGGCTTTGAAAAGAAGAAATAACAAGCAGGTATCGCAAGGCTTGTGATGCACTTGTGAGAGCTGGCAGCACCGCCGCCGCGAGGGGAGGGGAGTCTTCTCCGGTGCAAGTGCCGGATGTTTTCCTTGAAGCAATGTCCATAGTGAGCCGCAGCGGTCGGACGGGAAGCAGTCGCCGGTCCGGAGCAGTGACGGGCAGGTTGGAGGTGATGAGCACGCCAGTCCCCTTTAGCTTGAGTGTCTCTGGATCGATGAAAGCCGGCGAGGCTGTTGGAGGGTATCACCTGGGAGGTGAGTACTTTGCACTGGGTTCCCCGGTGGCGGGGCTGTTACCACTGTACGACACCCCAAGACAGTCTCTGTCCCGGGGCGAAGCTCTGGTCATTCATTGGCACTCTTCTTGGCATAGCAGTAGCCCGGTGGGGTGTTAAAGGGGAGTCTGAGCACCCCACAGGCTGACCGGGGAAGCCAGGGGTGCTCTGCACCTCCCAGGGTCGGGTCCTGCGTTGATGATGTTGAGAGATCCCATCTGGCCATTAGAAGGGGGCTGGGGGGCAGGACTGCGCCCTCCCAAACCCTTATCAGGCATGTACACTTAATCCTTCTCTTAAGAAGCACCTAGTTAATGGCTCCCCTTCCCGCGGGGTTGCTTCAAGGGATCTCTGGAGCGACTCCTCCTGTGATCCCTATCAAGTGCCTCCTCTCCCTTCCTAATCGCCAGGCTGGTGCCAGGGCCTCCGTCGCTCTCCTGCCCGGGGATCTGTGTGGAGACAGCCATCGGGCCGTCTCGCTCGCCATCCCTCGCTCCCGGCCTGGCCCCGTCTCTTCCACTCCACAGCTCCGTCCCTGAGAAAAAGCAGACCCCCAGCTCGCTGCTGTCACACGGAGGAAACCCCCCCAGGCGGGCAGGAGCGGGTCCGAGGGGGGCTACGGCTCTGTTCCTGCCCCGCTCTCGCTGGGGATCTTTGGGATCAGGACCAAACCCAAGTCGGAAGGCGCAGCCCGGGTTGCACGGCTGCTATTTCCCCATGTCAAGGACAGCCCTGGCAATGCCACTGAGAGCTTTTGGCTCCCAGGCAGTGGCAGCCAGCGGGGG